ATGAATTCATTTACTTTATTCCTTTCTTCATTTCTTCTTTCCATTCAATGTTAAAATTCCCAACGTTTTAACTATTTTAATTTTTTCTCAAATCGTTTAATATTGCCTTTTATTTTCGCACAGCGAAACTGGAAATATTTTTTTCAGCCAATATCACCAGCTAGTTATCTGTTATAGTAAATATATTCTGATTCGTTCTGTCTACCCTTTCATAGGGAGAGAACGGACTAGCTTCTTCACCGTTCAAGATGATGCTGCTAACTGGCATCTTATGGCCGTCTGCTACTAACAATTTCCATATGCCTTCTCTTTCTGTTTCGAAATTCATCTTTCCACCTTAGCCCCTACTTTCACTTTCGTTTAGCATCCTTACTTTCACTTTCGTTTTGCATCCTTACTTTCACTTTCGTTTTCGTTTCTATATTCAGTTTCCTTTTCTTCGCTTTGTTCTTCGTATTTGGATTATCCAGGATTATTTTTTTCTGGTTATGATTAATCCTCATGATTTTGATTTTAAATTTCTCTATTCCCTAAATACTCTTTAGTAATTAAAACGGGAGATACATAATATCGCCTGCTGGCTCGTGTGCATTTTTCCATAATCCGGTCTTGTTCGTCAGGGTGTTATTCTCATTCGCTCCGTTTTCCATTCGCCGATTTGTGCCGTTGTAAACCTTGGAACGAACTGAATCTACCCAATCTCGGGTAGTAGTTTTGACTACCTGCCCGTAAGTCTGTCTGACTGTCAGTCTGGTTTGTTACCCATCCACCCCGACACCCAAAACCCAGTCCCATCGCCAACCGGCACCCCACATTTAGTCGCCCCCACTACGTAGTTCGGTTGCCAATCTAACAGTTTCCACCTTTCCAATAACCCTGGCTTCTTTTCAAGTTTTTGCATTTTAATCGAGTCTAAGCCACTGCCAATCGCACCAAATAGATCGTTTGCATAAGCGCCAAAAATCTCTCACCAAACATCTAACACCATGACCGACCCCCATTGATACCCAATAGTTTGCGAACTATTTCCCCCAATTCTAGTGTTCGTTAATCGACATTTTTTGAATATTTTATTTGAATATTGATTTTAATCTGTTGAACTAAAGAAAATAACAAATATTTATTTGACTTTTCCTAATCTAATGCCACAATAACTAAGTTTTCTCATTCTGATTGTATTTTTTAGCATGTTATCATTTACTTTCACTTTCATTTTCGTATTGATTCTATTCTTTCTCTAGTTTATCTTCCATTAATTTTGTTCCATTTCTTTCTACTCTTCAGCTTCTTTCGTTCTTTCTCTTTGCCTCTTTTTCTCCGCATTTTTCTCTTTTGAATCTTACTCTCTTCCTTTCTTCTATTCCCTTTCTCTCTTTTACATCGTTGCTTTCTTTTACTCTTTCATTTTTTACTCTCTTTCTATCTTTTACTTCATTTTTTCTTCCTGTCTTGCTTTCTTTTACTTTATTCCTTCTACTCCCTTTTCTTTCTTTTACTCTCTTTCTTTCATCTACTCCCTTTCTTTCTTTTACTCTCTTTTACTTTCTTTCTTTTATTCCCTTTCTTCTTTTACTCTCCTGTTTACTTTTACTCTCTTTCTTTTACTCTCTTTCTTTCTTCTACTCCCTTTCTTTCTTTTACTCTCTTTCTTTCATCTGCTCCCTTTCTTTCTTTTACTCTCTTTATTTCATCTACGCCCTTTCTTTCTCTTACTCTCTTTCTTTCATCTACTCCCTTTCTTTCTTTTACTCTCTTTTACTCTCTTTCTTTCTTTCTCCCTTTCTTTCTTTTCTCTTTCTTTCATCTACTCCTTTTTTCTCTTACTCTCTTTCTTTACTCCCCTTTCTTTCTTTTACTCTCTTTTACTCTCTTTCTTTCTTCTACTCCCTTTCTTTCTTTTACTCTCTTTCTTTCATCTACTCCCTTTCTTTCTCTTACTCTCTTTCTTTCATCTACTCCCTTTCTTTCTTTTACTCTCTTTTACTCTCTTTCTTTTATCCACTTTCTTTTTTTACTCTCCTGTTTACTTTTACCCTCTTTCTTTTACTCTCTTTCTTTCATCTACTCCCTTTCTTTCTTTTACTCTCTTTCTTTCATCTACTCCCTTTCTTTCTTTTACTCTCTTTCTTTCATCTACTCCCTTTCTTTCTTTTACTCTCTTTCTTTCATCTACTCCCTTTCTTTCTTTTACTCTCTTTCTTTCATCTTCCCTTTCTTTTTTTTTTCTTTCTTTCATCTTTCCCTTTCTTTCTTTTACTCTCTTTCTTTCATCTACTCCCTTTCTTTTTTTACTCTCTTTCTTTCTTTTACTCTCTTTCTTTCATCTCTTTCTTTCTTTTACTCCTTTCTTTCATCCCTTTCTTTCTTTTTTCTTTCTTTCATCTTTCTTTTTTTTTATTCTCTTTCTTTCATCTTGCCTTTCTTTCTTTTACTCTCTTTCTTTCATTTACTCCCTTTCTTTCTTTTACTCCTTTCTTTCTTTTACTCCCTTTTTACTCCCTTTTCTCTTTCTTTCATCTACTCCCTTTCTTTCTTTTTACTCTCTTTCTTTCATCTACTCCCTTTATTTCTTTTTTACTCTCTTTCTTTCATCTCTCCCTTTCTTTTTCATTTTCTTTCATCTACCCTTTCTTTCTTTTTTCTCTTTCTCTTTCCCTTTTTTCTTTTATTCTCTTTCTTTCATCTACTCTTTCTTTTACTCTCTTTCTTCATCTTCTCCCTTTCTTTCTTTTACCTCTTTCTTTCTTTTACTCTCTTTCTTTCTCTTACTGTCTTGCTTTCTTCTACTTCCTTTGTTTCTTTCTCTCTTACTTTTTTCACCTTTTCTTCTACTCCCTTTCTTAAACCTTATTGGTTTCTTTTAGTCTCTGTTTTCTTTAACTCCTTTTCTTTCTCTTACTGTCTTACTGTCTTCTAATTTCTTTCTTTCTTGCTTCTACTCTCTTTCTTTCTATTACCCTATTGTTTTCTCGTATTCTCTTTCATTCTCTTACACCTTTGCTTTCTTTTATTTTCTTCATCCTTTTATGCCCCCAGTTTTCTTTCCCTATGTTTATTCTTAATTTCTTTTATTTTCATTCATTTCTTAATTTATTTTTCTAACTTTAGGATTTATGTTTTTTTTAGTTAATTTATCTCACCATTTTCTCTTTTACTTACATCTTTACATCGACTACTTTTATTCCTGTAAAATCTATTTTCTGTAACTTTTCAAACCATTTTATGGTCAGTTCATTTTTTCTTTTCTACATTTTTCCAATTATATTTCCTTACTTCATAATTTCTTTCTTTTCTTTTGCCTGTCCGCTATTTCCTTTTCATTTTTATTTACAACATTCAGTCTTGCCCATTTTCTTTCTATTTTCTTTCTTTCTTTCTTTCTTTCTTTCTTTTCTTTTCTTTTCTTTTCTTGTCATTCTTTTCCCCAACTGTTCTTCTGTTACTCCCTTTCTTTCTTATGACACTAGTTTTCTTTATTCTATACTTTCCCTAAAATCTTTTATTTATTGCCACCTTTTTGTTCTCTGTCTTTCCATTTACTTCTGTTTTTCATTCTTTCTTTGCTTCCAAATATTATTTTTTCTTTCCTTTTTTCGTTTCATTTTCTTTGTATTTTTCTCAATGCATTTATTCTTTTACTGACTCTCTTTTTTTTCATTTCTTCCTTTCTTTTTTCTTTACTTTCTTTCTTCTATCCTATATTCACTGTGTTTTTTCTTTCTTTTATCTTCTTTCTTTCTTTCTTTCTTTCTTTCTTTCTTTCTCCCTATGTCATTTTTTCTTCGCTTTTCTTCTACTACACTAAACCTCTTTTTGTCTCCTCTATATAGATCCTGATTGTTCTTCCTTGTCTTTCACTTTCTGTTTTCCCATCTCCTACACTATCCTTGAATTTTTATACCTCTACTCTCTCACTCTCTCTCTCTGTATATATATATATATATATATATATATATATATATATATATATATATATATATATATATACACAGAGAAAAAAACACATATATAGAGATAGATAGATAGATAGGTAGATACACACACAGACACGCGCCCACACATACAAACACACACATGCAAACATATATATATATATATATATATATATATATATATATATATATATATATATATATATATATAATTAAGAAATCAGCTAGTTCCCTAACTTGGTTTCAACCTATCGCTATATTCAAGCGATCAAGGTTGATTTTTTTATAATTAAAATCACTACATGGTAAAAGTTTATCTTTTTATATGTGTATTGAGCATTTTAATACTACTGCTTTCTGGTCTAATCCAACTCTGGCCATTAGTTTTTTATTATTATTATTACACACACACACACACACACACATATATATATATATATATATATATATATATATATATATATATATATATATATATATATATATATATATAATAAATAATGCATATATATATATATATATATATATAATAAATAAATAATGTATATATATATATATATATATATATATATATATATATATATATATATATTATCATTATTATTATTAATATTAAGTTTACTAAATCCGACATGTTTTTAATTTGCCTTGCGTAAACGTTATTTTAGATGGATATTTTATTCAGTAAATGCTCTGTTTACTTAATTACACAGCATTTTTTAATTAATGGCCTGAATATTCGAGAAATATTGTCAGAAAATCCGACGGATACACCTTATACATGCATACATACATGCATATATATATATATATATATATATATATATATATATATATATATATATATATATAAATTTCTTTTAGAACCTTTTATTCAAGTTACATTTAAAACTTCCATCAAAGAGAACCTACAAAAGGTACTGCGATTAAGCTCTTTATTTCATTTTATTAAGTGGGACATATATATATATATAGGGTGTATTAAGATACTTTTTTAAATTTTTGGCGTAGGTTTCCTTACCCCAAAACAAGGACTAAAGTCTACATATTTTCGCCAGTCCTTCGTTTTTCATGTTATTCAATTTAAAGTTTATGGTAGATGCAGCTAAATGCAGATCGTATTTACGATTCCAATGGAATAAATTATGAACATGGAATATTAGCGTTTAAGCCTTTTTTATATATATATATATATATATATATATATATATATATATATATAGTTATTATAGTTTACTCTCGTTTATTCGTTCATTTCTTCTTCTTCTTCTTCCCCTTCTTCTTCTTCTTCTTCTTCTTCTTCCCTTTCCTCTTCTTCTTCCTCCTCCCCTTCTACTTTTTAACTTACTCCCTTTCACTTTAGCCAATTTCTAATCCTACCGATTCACACAGTCACTGTTGCCAATCAAAAATATTAAATCTATTTGTAGACCTTTTTTTTTTATTTGTAAAAACAAATCATATAAGCCTTGGCCAACACGCAAACTCTGCACTTTTCCAAAGACGACTCTGTTCACTTGCTATAATGCTCCTCGCTTCGCCAAGCCTCCGACACCAAACCAATGATAGTAATGATTTTGATTGTCATGCTATATTTTCTACCAATCTTTCTAATATCACTTTTGCAATGAAATTCTCTGCCACGTAAATAATTGTTCTGTTTCACTAAATAATCCTCCGTTTTGACCAAACCGAAATAACATTTAGAGTGATAGACATAAATTTTTATGAAAAGTTTGTATTTCAACGCCGATTTAATTCACGTCCTAAATGGTGGGATGGTTCACTTTGGTATTAAATATAGGTTGGTTAGTTGATACTAATAAAGTGAGTTCAATCCCAACTTTTTGCAGTGGCTTATCTGATTCGGATAGTTTTAGTTAAGTGAGACAAGGGGATAAAAATTCTACCCATTTGCTGAGACTCGGTATCCGGTTGAAATAAAGAGAATGAGATAAAATCTCCATCCGTGTATGACGGAGGGCATTTGATTTTTTTTCTAGTCAATTTTGAATTGTGCACTTGTAGTTTTCACTTGCATTTTTCTGGATTATTATGCAACGCATTGAATTCCGCTGTTACTTGTTTCATACAATCTCTCGCAAACCAATTATGAACAGTTATTTTTTTAATTCACAAATCGGCTGACAAAAATGTGGTTGCAGCAAATGATACAATGAAAGAGTTAAAGGGACTAAAAGCCACGACAGTATAATGAATTGAAGGAAAGAAAAAAAATGCTAGCTTCGGATTAACGTGATGTGGGAGGACTCATCCATCATTAAGAACAACATTCGAAATGTTATTTTCATTTGCCCTGAAAAAATTCCGATTTTTATATCGATTATCAATGTAACTTTTATTTTTTCAGCAGTCACATCTAATTTGGTGCTTCTACTACATATTTAGAAAGACTTGAGAAAAATCTTTAAGAATTTGCAATGTTATTAGTCCTGACCTGGCATCTAGATTTCAATCATTTACCCTCCTCCTTAGCGTAGCCTTACTCTGTCGTTTCGATAAATATTTTCATGCTTTTTTCTTCTAATGAGCTTTTCTCTTTTGTTACCTAGAATTTACGAATTTCAGCGCAGTGCCAGATTGAGAGTTTGCTCTCTTCATTCTACTGTTGACTAGACTTCACCGTAAGTTCTATGCAAAGTGTTTCTTCTCTGGCACTTCTCGATAGCGGACATCTTTTCGGGGTTCTTACTTTCCAGATATTCAAATATTTAAATGCGAATGTCAAAGGTTATCTTCTGTCTTCTTCCTGTTCTTTTATCGTTCTCTCTCCTTCATAATGTTTTTTTCTCATTTTATTTCACACTCAGCAGCCCAGTGAGTGTTAGTGGCTTTATTGCCTTGCTTAGTGAGAAGTGATAAACAATTGTTGGTAGTTTCCTTCGTTTTCTTTGCTTTTCACCAGACAATGAAGACAATTCGTGTAGGGGGGTGGCATCACGACTATCACGTTGGCGTATATATCCCACCAAACATCTCTCTTTATTGCAATGAGTGAGGGTCTGCCACAGGGTTTGTATCCCCGGGGGCGGACAACCCTCATAGCTCTTTTTTTCCGTGAACAGTCCGAAAAGTGAATCGCGACAGAGAGAGAAAGGGCTGATACTGCACTTTGGTTCTAGCTCAAAACGCCGTGAAAAGCGGTAACGCTAACGATCTTTCCCTCTGCATACCCCCGCCCCCAAAAAGTGGGGTACTGGATCGCTTAGACATAGGTATGAGAAAAATGTATCTCTAAAGGTAAAATCATCATTTCCATATAGTTTTACTCTCGCTTCAAATTTTAGAAGGCTTTATCTTAAAACTGTTTGGATTACGGCCAGATCACGTTGAAACCCCGGTTCTCGTATGATCAGCGAATAACCGTCATCATGGATTATCAGTGTAACGGATAACACCAGGTACATGAAAATCGGAGAGCCGAGTTCAAATTGTAGTCGGGGTTCACTTACCCGCAAATTAGTGAAAGGTATTAATCCACTTTATCCCCCCACCTATGGGTTAATTAGTAGGATTTATATGAGAAAGCCTTTATTATCTCCAGAAGATTCTAATAATCATAAAATATTTTCTGGCTTCAAATAACCTGCAAAAGTTTGAGAACCCGTAAAAAAAAACTACTTAATTCTTAACAATGACGAAATGCCCAGCCACCGGTTGAATAGTGTTAGAGAAAAATGACTCAATGCCCAACCATCGGTTGTGTTGTCATTTTGTTCAAGTGATTTTGTGATTTGGTAAAAGACTTCGTTTTTATGAATTTGTAGCGCCAATCTATAAGGTATGATGGTAGATCTTCTTTAAATCATCTAGACGTTTCTTTAAACAGATGCGTTTTTATATATCTAACCCAGGGGTTCCAAAACTTTTTTGCATCATCGCCAAACAGTATAGCAAATTTTCAAAAGCATACCAAAATTGCTTCGTAAAAGTTTGTTACTGGTTCGTAAACTGACTTTTAGATGTTGTAAGAAATATATGGTCTCCCTACGTGTACACAAGAGATGATGGGAGATAAGGGACCATAGGATCATTGTAGTCACCACTTCATGAACATGGATTCGATTGTCAAAGATTTTGCTCGGTAAAGAACAACCATATTGGATATACGTGGTCACACATAATATATTTTATCAGGCATAGATAGATAGATAGATAGATAGATAGATAGATAGATAGATAGATATGAAAAATTGAGATAGATGAATAGAAATACACAAACACACACACATATATATATATATATATATATATATATATATATATATATATATATATATATATAATTAAGTTATGGAGAACTTGGTAAACCGAAAGGGTAATTCAAGGAGGATGAAATCCTGAGAGCTCAATGTGAATACAGAGCTAATATTTAATGAAAAACAGACCACTTTAAAAGGTGCCATTACAATAATTTATTTCACCCAAAATCCTTTTAAAGGACTCGGATCATCAGGTAACACTTCCAACAACGAAATTGGAATTGTTGCCTGATGATCCGGGGTCCAAAAAAGGATTTCGTGAAAATAAATATTATAATAGTACAATTTTAAAAGTGGTCTGTTTTTTCATTAATTATATATATATATATATATATATATATATATATATATATATATATAGATAGATAGATAGATAGATAGATAGATAGATATGAACAAACTGAGTTAGCTAGCTAGATAGATGTAT